AGGGTTACACTTTCACATGTAGCTTTATCGTTTTAAATTTAACATTCAAAAACATTTACATGTATATTGGTTTTAATGCTGCTATAGTGCAGCTTTAGGGTGAGTGTCTGAGCTGGAGGAATAGGCATTGTAGCAAAGGGCATCCTGACAGAATTTAAAAGCTCTGTGTCGTTTCTTGTAAAAATGTGCTGTTTACAGCTGCAGGTCTTGTGTTGTCTTTTCCATTTACAATCCTGTCCTCCTTTTTTTTTATATTTAACAATCACTTGATAAAAGTTAAGCCCTACAAACAGTCAATGAATGCCAGATCAAATCAATCAAATAGGAAAAGGTACCATCTGAACTTTTCAAAAACTAGGCCATGCTGCCTTGGAGTTACTCCAAGCAAGGGTTAGTCTGGTGTCACATTCAATAACATTATTAGTCGGAGAGCACTGTTGTTATTAATACATTTTAAAAGCATTTGCAAAAATTACATAGCTGCCTATTTATTTTAATCAAATAAAGTTTACTGCAGTCAGAGAAACAGGACTACACTGAAAAACAGACCAAGCTCCAACATCTATAAACAAAGGTGTTGATGGCAGAGAAAACATAAAGCTAGAGTTGAACTAACAATTACCATAGATTGAAAGAATAGAGACTGATGCAGAATGATAATAAGGGATCCCTATGTCCTCCAGCAGTGGAAGCCTATAGCAGCACAAATGCAGAAAATAGGTCAGGATGTGTATTTTGAATTAGGTATAAGAAAGGTGGAGCAACAGTGTGGCAAAGGTTAGATCCAAGAAGAAACGTCTATTGTTAATAATAAATAATAAGTAAATAATCCCTTTACTGACTGAATTTATTTTTTAGAAAGCAGATGCAAAGTTTAATTAAAAAAAAGTAAATATTACCTAACAATACATATACTAGTTTATAATATAAACACATTTGCTTTCTGGTTTTCTTCGCTAATTTGAAGTCTAAAAAAATTTAGAAAAACAATAATTTTGCATCTCGTATTAACCAACCGAAATAAAGTAGTCTCATAATATAAAATATCAACCGTGCACGCCAAATCATCTGCACATTGGACTATAACCATAAAGTCATAAGAGCCCTTCATGCTATTTCCAGTATTTCTCTTTTTTTTCCTATGTCCTTCACTTCTTCTTCTCTCACAAAAAAAATAAATAAATAAATACTGCTTCCGATTTGGTCCCTGAACTAAAAGATTAGAGGAGGACAGACATGCTGCTATCAGAGATGGACTGATGGCTGATCATGGGCAGACTGGAAGTAACGCAGACAACCGCCAGAGCAGGAGGGTTTATAAGACTGGACGAGGGTGGAGCTCAGTCTGATATTAGGTTAGAGAGATCAGTTTCAAGGTGGAGGACATGATGGGGGCTGGGAATAACTGCATATGTCTGTGTGTGTGGGGGGGGGGTGTTCGGGGGCGGTGTCGTTGGAGGGGTGGGGATGGGAATTAAAACCATGCCTTCAATCCATCACCAGGCCTGGCCTGGACGCCGGGGCAGTGCAGAAACATGTGGAAAGAATTTATGACCTAGTTTTCATTTCCTTGTTTAATATGATATTTGGTGCTTTAAGAGCAGGGAAAGAAAGGAAGTGAGGATAGAGGATGAGAGATTAGGAGAGAGTGCTTTACCTCCTTGATTTCAAGAAACAAAGTAAGTCTTGGTATGAAAAGAGCGGGTGAAAATATTACAGCTGAAATCCTCATTTCCTGTAAGGCTCTTTTCGTCTCTGTAATAGCATTACTGTTACAGAGTTCTGATTGGTGGCAAGGTCCTTGTCTGGCCAGCTGACCCATCAGGGAAAAGACAGAAACATCCTGACAATAAATCCATACATGCATCTGTAATGTGTCGAGGCGCTAAGACAGAATCTGTTCAAAACAACAACAAAAGTCGGTCACGGTAACACAGGAAGTTACCCCTCTGACACCAGGCGGTAGGGTCCGCTACCTTTTCCTGTTGCTCTCCTCTTTCCTTTGACGGGATTGCGTGTGAAGATTCAAGCGTGGGCCGCTCTTTCCTGTAACACCCAAAAGTTTTGCTTTTATTATGTTCTGTTGCAGTTTTAGTAGGAAATCAGGAAATCATTCTTGCTTGTTGCGGCTTTTTTAGTTATCATGATGGGACTTCTTCAGGAACTGTTGGAGTGGGGGGTGGGGGGGTTGATGTTGGTGTATTTACCCAACATCATCTCCCCCCCCCCATATATATATATATATATATATATATATATATATATATATATATATATATATATATATATATATATATAT